ACTTCTTGATGTAGTCGATGGCCTGCAGCTCGCAAGTCTATGGTTGCGGCTTTGCGACTTAACATGAGGATGCCTTTCAAGAAAACCCTAAACCCTAAACCCTAAACCTAAAGCCTAAACCCTAAACCCCATCCCCCCCTGCCCCTCCCCCGCGGTCCACGCCCTGCTCAGAGCCAAGCTCTTCGAAGAGACTGCGGGCCGTCTTCGCAACCTGAAGGCGGCTTTTCGGATTTAGGGTTTAGGGTGGAGGGGTTAGTTTAGGTTTTGAGGTTTCGAGTTTAGGTATAAAGATGGCTTGGGGCTCAGAACTTGGAGTTCAGAGGCTTGGGGGTTTAGCGTTTAGGGTTTACCTTAGGTTTTGGGGTTTAGAGTTTAGGGTTTAGGGCTTAGGGTTTAGTTTAGGTTTTGGGGTGTCGAGTTCCGGGTTTGGAGCTTAAAGCTTAGGGGCCTTCTCGGAACTTGGGGTTCAGAGGCTTGGGGGTTGAGAGATTAGGGTATACAAATCGTATAAGGGCTCATAGGAGTATGTATGGTGATTTAAGACAGCTGTCTCAGTAAAACTAGAACTGGGCGTGGTACAGGGACCATGACGGAAGGTTGCTATTGATTGTTCAGACTGCAATACAGTAGCAGTTCTCTAAGATACCGCTCCTTGCAGGGTCCTTATTCTAAGAGTGCCGTTAGGGTTTTGAAAATCTGGAAGATTCTGCAAGTCAGAATCCCTAAACCCTAAACAAAGCCTGGATCCCTAAACTACACCTCGCAGTTTAGGGATCAGGTTTTAGGCTAGGGCTTCGGGGGTGCGAAGTTTCGGAATTACAAACACAACCCACCTACTGACCGGCTTCGGAAAAGACTGATGACAGATTTCAGGGTGTAGTTGGGAGGCTTCAACCTTCCTCCATGGACCTTGGGGTTTAGGGTTTAGGGCCAACGGCAGGAACTTCATGAGGCGTCGCCTTAATATTTAGAATGGGGGCGTTGGTGTCTGTCGTACCACAGTAATAAAAGATAAACAAGGAGCACTAAGGAGTAGCTCTACTACATACAAAGGCTTCGGTATTGCGAGTATAAGTCGGAGTCATCGAACTCATCAGAAGATCCATGCTCCTTCGAGCAGTGCGAGGTATCTGCCCGTGCCCTGAACCCAACAAAGCACAAGCAAGCTAATCATAACCCGAAAGCCCATGCCCTAAAGCGCCAGGCCTAAAAGCCAAAAAAAACCCAAAGCCCAAACTCCCAAAGCTCCAAAAGCCGAAAAGCCCACTAGCGCCAAAAGAGCCCCCAAAACCGCCCAAAAATGCCCGAAAACCCTCTAAACCTCAAGGATCCTCTTAAAGATCCCCACGTCGATTCCTTTAAAAGGGTCCCTTAAAGGGACCCTTAAAAGGGCACACTTAAAGGTTTTCAGGGTTTAGGGTTTAGGGTTTAGGGAACCCTCCAAAACAAACAGGTGCCGTCGGCCGCCGGACGGTCCAGCGCGCCTCCTGGGCCTTGTCGTCCTCCCCGTTGCAGATGTGGATCTGCGCCTGCTCTTGCAAAGCAATGCGAACATCTGCTGCTACTGCTACTACTACCGAAAAGTGCATTGTATTGTATGTTATTCTATATCATATTGTACTATTCTATTACATCCCATTATACTATAGTCAATTTTGTTATGCTATAGAAAAAAGACAAACTCAACCCGAAGCCCGAGCCTTCAACAGGAAGAGGCTGGCTTCTTCCATGCCTCGGCTGCTGGGAAGCAAAAGAAAAAAGGGCAGGGCTCTTTAGGGTAGTAGGGTTTGGGGTTTAGTGTGAAACCAGAGGTAATGTTCGATAGCTCTAGTGGATGGCCTTTCGAGATTTCTGTTGAAGAACCCGATCCTCAGCTCTGCGCGTTCTGAACCGCCTGGCAGGCTTTGCATCCGAAGGCTTTTGGCACGAGCAAAACGATGCGGCTGTGTCCGCCTTGCAGGCCGGGGGCTTTCGTTGCTGCCTGTAGTCCCTGACCTCTTAGTTGTTTCACATTGGTAGCGGAGCTTGTGTGCTCAGATCCTAGTGCAATGTCGGTTACTGGGGCTGCTGATGGCCCTCCGCCTGGTTTCGAAGAAGTTCAGAATGTGGAGCAGCGACCAGCTCCTCCTGAAGTACCCCCGGAACCTTTGTTCGGGGCCAAGTCTTTCGGTGCAGCTAGCCGTGAAAGTCGTGTGGGTGAATGTGACCAGACTCAACATGATCGCAACGATGGCGGTCGCGAGACCACTCGGCGAGAGTGGACAAGCTCCGACAGGAGCTTATGGGACGATTGGCGCTCCTCGAGCTGGGGAAATGCTTGGGATGGCGCTAAGCAAGACGACTTCGCCGCCGGCTGGGGCCGACGATCTAGCTGGGAATCGACTAGGGCAGGAGCGCTTTGGTCAACTGTGGACGGAAGCAGGAGCAAGAGAGTAGATGACGATCCGTGGGACGGAGGTTCTGACCCATGGACTAACGGCAAAGGAGACCGTCATCCCCAAGACGACCGTCGAGACCGACGCGCCGGTCCCCGGGCAGATGGTCGAGATTGCCGCGGAGCTGACTACGATCACGCAGACCGACGTCATCAATGGAAGGACAGCGGTAGCGACCTTAGCGGGCGACGTTGCGGATGGAGCGATGACCATGCGAGCCACTCATCTTGTGGAGGTGATGATCATGGAGTGGCTTGGAATGGATGGAGCCATTTCGGCAACGGGAACGGCTTCGGCGGAACAGCCGGAGAAGCCAACTTCGGGAGCCGTAGTGGTCAAGGCCGGCCCTCAGAGCGCTTGAATGTACCGACTTTCAAGGCCGATGACAGTGACGACCTCGGAGGCTCGGCGAGATCGTACCTCAGGCAGATAGAAGCGTGGAGGAGAATGACTCTACTACCCCCCGAGCAACAGGCCCTTGTCTTGTACCAGAACCTCGGCGGGAAGGCTTGGGTGGCTGCAGAGGAGCTTTCGGTTGCAAAGCTGGGATCTCCTACCGGGGTGCGGTACTACGTCTCTTGGATCACAGCAAGGTTTCTGGATCTGGAAGTTGCAAGGATTGGGAAGGCGTTCTCGGACTTCTTCAGGAGACTTCGTAGGAGACCCGGACAGAGTATACGCGAGTACAACACGGAGTACGACAGGTTACACGCTCGCCTACGTGAAGTCGGATGTCAGCTACCTGAGGACTGCGCTGCATGGCTCTACATAGAAGCTCCAGCAGGCCGCCGTGCTTCACGATAGGTCCCACCGAAAACCTTGGGAGCACGGAAAGACGCGCAAGGCCCACTCTGCTAACATGACCGACTATGACGAACATGGCATGAGTGAGACTGATGATGATGGTGAAATGAACGACGGGATCCATGAGGAAGTGGCCCAGGCCTATCTCACCTACCAGACCGCGAAGAACAAGTACAAGGATTAGGCTAGGAGCAGAGGCTACCACGGCAATTCCAAGGACGATGGAGGCGAAGGCGATCAGCGCAAGGACCCGAGCTCTACGGCACTTGAGGAAAGGCTCAAGAAGCTGAAGAGTAAATCGTTTTGCGCCAGCTGCGGGCGCAAAGGGCACTGGCACAAGGACGTTGAGTGCCCGAACTACAGTGGAGGTGGCAATGGAGGCGAGAAACCTGTGCGGGCTGTTGAGGTCTGCCACCACGTACCGGCGGAGGTGATGACACTGAAGTACGAGGGCGAGGCGCTAGTCGGCATCACAGACACAGCTTGCGCAAAGTCGGTGGCGGGCACGGGATGGCTACAAAGGTACTCGGACTTGGCGAACGAGATTGGGGAAAAGGTGAATCTTGTCAAGGAGTGCGAGGCCTTCCGTTTCGGCACCGGGAAAATCCACTACTCGGCCTTCAACGTGAAGATCAGGTTTGTCCTCGGCACGAAGCTCGTGAGCCTCAAAGTTTCTGTGATCAATGGAGACGTGCCCCTGCTGATGTCAAAGAGGTCCTTAGCTCAGCTTGGGATGATCTACGACGTTGCCAGGAATGTTGCAGACTTTTCGGTTGTCGGACTCAAAGACTTTGCTCTCCTTCAGACGACTTCCGGTCACCCAGCCATTCCGATCAATCCGGCAAAGGCCGGAGAATGCAGCGAAGAGCTGCTTCTTGCCGACAACGCACCGGGGGCATCGGAGGCATACATGGCGTTCATGCTGAGTGGTTGCATCCCTACGACCCCTAAGCCCTACAAGATCTTCTACGACAAAAAGCTTAGCCCCGAAGTCAAACAGATGCTCACCCAAGACCGGTTGTCAGAAGCTTCGTTTCTCGCGTGGTGGGACAGTACCAACATCGACAGTGACTTCTGGTTAGAGGGCGAGTTCGCATGGCATCGTATTCATGTTACCCCAAGAAGGAGTTTGTTCAGTCCCTACTTGTGGAAGACCCATGGAACTGTGCAGAAGGACATGTTGTTGTCGTGCATCGGAAAGTTTAGACTCACCGAGGGGTTTTGCAGCAGGACAGGGAAGCCGATCGAGAGTGCAGTCGATGTTGTCGAGCGTGGAGATGAGCAGTCCTCGTTCCCGTTGTTTTGGTTCGGCAGAACTACCTTCGCAAAGGTGTCCACGCAGGTAGCGGCCCAATCTCCTCTTTCCGCGCCGCGAGGCCATGAGCAGCTCGGGATGCCGCCCACCGCCGATCCACAAGATGAACAAAGTGGAGCTCCTGGCGGAGGCCAACCGAGTCGGAGTGCTTGTACACCATCGCTGGACTGTCGAGGAGATCAAAGCCGTCATTCAGGAGCACCGCATGGAGAACGACCCCGGCTCGGCGATGAAGTCGATCACCAACCTCACCCTCGACGAGCTGAAGGCCAAGGCGAACAACCTCGGTGTGATGTTCGGGGAGCGGATCACGAAGGGCAACTTGATAAGGCTCATCCGGGACCACACGAACACCCCCGACCAGGAGCTGATGAAGATCGGAAGGTTCAAGGGGTACGAGTTCGGGGAGATTCCCAAAGCCTACGGGGAGTGGGCATCAAAGGAAGTACGAGTCAGCTCCAATCCGCACCCAGAGCTTGTGAGGTTCGCAAAGTGGTTCGATGGGAAGACGGCGAAGACGAACTACGCCGGGGAGGAGTTCATCGAGGAGCACGGTACAGTCCCGTTCCCACCGAGCCTAGGAGGACCGGCGCCCAGCACGACGGGGAGCTTCGGCACAGTGGACTGGAGCGTGGTGCAGGACGACTGGGGGAAGCAATCGCTGGTCCCTCCGAAAGCGAGCCCTACCAAGAGACGGAACGAGAAGGAGGACACCAGAATGATCGTGGACAACCCAGTGACCCCCGAGCAGGAGATCGAGGAGCTGGAGCGCAGATTGGCGGAGCTCAAGAAGAAGGCGGCGGCGAAGGGCTACGCGAAGCCCTCGGGGCACTGAGCGAGACACAAGAGATTGGGGACGGAGGGCCCAAGCCGTTCCCTCGGACCGATGGGCATGGAGGAGCGGTGTCTATCTTCCCGGACCATGGCCGTCCTGGACACCGTGATGAAGAAGGCCATGAATATGAGCACGAGGGCGGCCATTTTGGAAATAAGACCTTTGTGCACGATGGATGGTGCTGTGGAGGCACAAGACACGATAAAGTTGCGGAGAGCTTCATCACGGACGGCGACTTCGTGAAGGGGCACTACAACCAGAACAGCGTCTTTGCCGTGAACCCCGGCAACTTCGAGAACGTCGATCGCCCTCAACTACACCGAGCACTTCAGCAACAGGACTATAGCTACGGCACGATCAAGAAGGTCCTCGAGGAGACGAGCATGAAGGCGCAGAAGAACACGAAGGGCAAAGCGCTCGGAGCACCTGGACAGGAAGTGCTGTATGAAACTCTTGGTCTGTACACTCATGGAGGCGTCTACGGTGTCACAACGAGGACCAAGCTTGACGAGGACCTCGCTCGCTACATGAATCGAGTCGGACAGCATCTACTACCAGATGGAGCTACGTGGTCATCGGTGACTATGACAAAGGGTTGCAACGCAGCGCCGCACCACGACTACAACAACTCTAGAGAGAGCAAGAACCACGTGTTCACCACAGGAGGACAAGGACCAGGCAGCATCTGGATCGAGACCAAAGACCTCACCGAAGACCAGGCCGCGCAGGGCGACGTCAAGTGGAGGAGCATCCCCGGACGAGGATGGGTACCTGGTCGACTAACCAGATCGCACAATGCCGTGGTCTCCTTCGACCCCTTCTACAAACATGCGACGCACGACTGGGATGGGGAACGATGGTGCGTCATTTACCACACCACGAAGAGCGTCAAGAACATATCCCCCGAGCTTTCCAAGTACCTCAAGAACCTCGGCTTCCACCTCCCGAAGGCCGCGAAGGAAGTCCGCGGTAGTGCTGGAACCATGCCTAGGAGGACTACGAGGAAGACTATCTTCAACAACGCAGCGAAGCTGAGCGTGATGTTCGCGACCTTGATTGCCGCAACGGACTCTTTTTTTGGCAGGGGAGTCTATGCCAACAAAGTCCAGACCCCGATCGTGATGTTCGAGATTGGGAGCGATGAGGGCACCGAGGAGGCTGTGAGGCTGGATAAGGACGTCTTCGAGCCGATGACGTGGGAGCGCTACAACACGAGCGAGGGCAAGGAGACCGCGCACCACATTGTCAATGGAGGTTATCCACGAGAACTACGCGTGAGCTTAAAGGGAAAGAGAAGTGGCGACGATGAGGCTCTTCGGGATTTGATCGAGCTTCAGGTGAATAGCGGAGGAACAGCGGTGCTCATCGGGGACAACAAGGACACCCTTGTCGAGGAGTTGGCAAAGTCGGCCGTGCAGAAGCACAAGCGTCTGGCAGAGAGCTTCGGCGATCAGGACATCATCGTCTACTACAAGGAGAAATCCGAGAACGGGAGTATGGTGGGAGTCGGAAGAGTCCACGATGTATGTGTCGTGGAAGGCCAGGAACCCAAGCCAAAGAACTACGCAACGGATGGCTCGGCGATCAAGTTCGACTCCAGCACGCCTCCCGGAATCGCGCAGTCCCTTCGTCGACTTCATCAGAACCTGGGCCACCCCCGACGCGAAGACCTACTACGGCATCTCCGCCTGGCTGGGTGCAACGAGGACGTGCTGAAGGCGGTCAAGTTGATGACGTGTGACGTTTGTGCAGCCACGGGCGGGCCGAAGATACAACGACCTAGTGCCCTGCCTCACATGTTGGACTTCGGTGAAATCCTTGGGATAGATATCTTTTACGCGCACGACGCCAGCGACGTCAAGCACACCTTCCTCTCGGTCGCCGACTATGGAACAACCTTTCATCAGGTCGTTAGAGTCGATGGACAGTCGGCCTGGGACATCGAAGAGGCGTTCAACACCCTGTGGATCACGCCCTACGGCGCCCCAAAGTCTGTTGCGGTTGACTTGGATGGAGGCCTACAGACAGGCCTCGCCAGACTGTGCGACTGGCACGGCATCGAGATACGGAGTGTTGCAGCCCAAGGACACTGGCAAGCTGGAGTCGTCGAAAGACAACAGGCATGGTGGAAAAACGTCTGGGAGAGGATTGTCCTGGAGCTTTCCATCACCGAGGACGAGATCGACATCGCCGTGCCGATTGTCTCTGCTGCAAAGAACGACCTGAGGAGGAGATGCGGATATAGTCCCTCACAATGGGTCTTCGGACGAGGACCTCGACTACCAGAAGACCTACGCGACCCTGACATGCAGCGGAGAGAAGGTCACCTGGGACGTCTCGGCTGAGGCGAGATTCCAGAGGCAGTCCATTATCCGGGCATCAGCACGGGTCGCGTTCCACAAGAGCCAGATAGACAACCGGCTCAGGAAGGCCCTCCTTCAGAGAGCAAGGACCACGTCTAGGAAGCTGGAGGTGGGCGAGTCCGTGCACTTCTGGCACCAACGCAAGAACCGTAGACGAGGCGAATGGGAAGGTCCTGGGATCATTGTCGGCTCTGAGGGGGACAACTACTGGATCTCAAAAGGGGGCCGGTGCAGATTGAAAGCACCGGAGCATGTGAGGCCTTCTTCACCCGAGGAGGTGGGCGAGTACTTCGTCATGAAGGGCTTAAAGGGAGAAGTCGAAAAGCTATTGGAGGGCGACCCCGACAATCCGGAAGTGTTCGAAGATGATGACGAGGAGCAGGTCTACGACGAGATCTACGAGGACATGGACATCGACCCCGAGGCGGACGACGGTGGAGGCGCAGGAGACATAGAGCTTGGACCCCCGGACGAGGAAGGCGAGTGCGAGGACGCCCTTGGGAATCCTCCTCTACGTAGACTCAAGAGGAAGACGAAAGCTGCTGATCTACCAGAGCGACCTACTGACGCCCACGACGCCATGATGCTCAAGACTGACCTCACTCGTCGCGGAGTTGAGAAACGCAAAGAGAAGGAGCTCAAATGGAGTGAGATTCCTCCCGAGATGAGGAGCGACTTCCGATCCGCCGAAGTCACCCAATGGCAGGAGCACCTGGCATATGACGCGCTGGCTCCTCTGACAGCAGAACAATCTGCCGAAGTGAGGAAGCGCGTCGATCCCTCAAGGATACTGAGGAGCAGATGGGCATATCGCGATAAAAACTATGCCCGTCGCCGCGAAGGCGACCCAGTCCCCTGGAAGTGCAAGTCGCGACTGGTCATCGCCGGGCACACCGACCCGGACCTCGGCGTAGAGACGCTGTCGACTGACGCGCCAACCTTGTCAAGGGCAGGATTGGCATGTCTGATGCAGAAGGTTGCGAATGGACTGAAAAGGGACGACGCATGGCACATGGCTGCAGGAGACATCAGGTGCGCCTTTCTGACAGGAAGCTACTTGGCCCGAGAACTTTATATACATCAGCCGGCCACAGGATTCCCCGGGATGAACCCAGGCGACCTGGTGAGGGTGAAGAAGAATGTCTTCGGCCTCGCCACCTCCCCGCATGAGTGGTGGCTGGACCTACAGAATGGGATCTACGCCACCAAGGTGGAGCACAACGGGAAGGAGTTCCACTTTGAGCAATGTGGACTGGACCCGTGCATCTTCTCCCTCCGGGAGTACAGCAACGGAGACTTCACTGGGAAGCCGGTCGCCTACATAGGGTGCCACGTCGACGACATCCTCATTGCGGCTCCAAAGTCCCTCATGAAGAAGATCCAAGCAGCCCTCTCAGCGACCTTCCCCATCGAGACCTGGGAGGAGGACGAGTTCGAGTTCCTCGGGTCCCACTTCGGCATTCGCGAGGACACCGTCTACATCGACCAGGCCAAGTATGCGGAGACCCGACTTTTCTCCCTTGATGTGCCAAAGGGAGCCCCGGACGAAGAGGCCGCGCCCAAGGAGCTCATCGCGGACAATAGGTCCCTGATAGGGGCCCTGTCATGGATGTCGGCACAGAGCCGACCCGACCTCACTTGCTCGGTGAGTATGGCGCAGCAGCTACAGCAGAGCCCCAGCTTCGGCGACCTCAGATTCACCAATGCGGTGGCCGGAAAGGCGAAGGCCCACAAGGACTGCGGGCTGAGATTCAAGGCCGTAGACGAAGAGAGGCTCATGGTGATCTGCTATCACGACGCGGCATGGGCGAACGTTCCGGAACCCGACAACGAGGAGGACCACTACAAGCTCACCTACGAGGACGACGAGGCCGGGATCCAGCACGAGGCACCGATTTCCTACAAGAGCAATGGAAGGAGAGCTAAGAAAGGGAGCTCGAAGGTTGCCTCTCAGCTTGGATGCCTAGTTCTCTTCGCAGACCGAGGAGTGATCAGTGGACAGCCCGGGGACTTCAGCATCGCAGACTGGAAGTCCAGAGCTGGACAACGTGTGTGCAGGTCCACTTTCGGAGCCGAAACCCAAGCATGTGTGGAAGGGCTGGAGACAGCCCAGTACATGAGATCGCTGTACGAGAGCCTGAGCACCGGCACACTGGTCAATGTGGACACAGCAGTCACGCCAATCCTGTGCCTTTCTGATTGCCGTAGCTTGTTCGACCATCTGACCCGACAGGGGATACCGCGGGTGCCGAGCGACAAGCGCTTGGCTGTAGATTTGGCTGCACTGCGTCAGTCACTTAAGTCTGAGAAGATCAACGGACAGCCACCAATCGCTTGGATTCCAGGCGAAACACAGCTTGGAGATGTTTTGACAAAGCCTCAGAATCCTGCCAATTGGTGGGACAAGATGCAGAGGCGACTTTTGATCCCCATCGGTATAGCCGATGGAGGATGCTTGATCAGTAACAGATCTGGGAGATCGGGAACCAGTGTGAAACCAGAGGTAATGTTCGA